GGGCTCGAAGCATGTTGAATTCTGTAAGTGTATATAGAGTATATGATTTAAATATGTGATGTAGCACATGCAGTTTTGATTAAAGAAGCATTGACTGCATTTTTGAATTTTTTAAAAAAAAGTTATTTCAAAATCTATAGACATTTTGTTTAAACACTAGTGAACTGGATATAGCTTCATAGTCTGGACGAGTTAACATTAAGATTAAAGTCCATTAGAATGCAAATTTAACTATTTGGTAATAAGCTGTGTAGAAATCACTTGACATTTCATAGTATGTTAGGATCAGGCTGTGTTTATATTAGGGTATATCTTGAATAACTGCAATCTGGTTAATAATAAAACTGAAAATAAACACAAACTCGCATCTCCTGATACTGACCTTCCTCATGTGTTGCTCATCAGGGCTCACATACAAGGCAAGGCCTAAACACAGAATGCTGGGACTCAGTAACTTAAATATTTACTCAAGTTGCTACAGAATCTACCTCCCCAAAATGTGAAATGAGTATACAGCTGAATTGCAAGTGTAATTTGCAGGATATTGTGGGAGAAATTGCCAGCACACCTGACTCTGTTGTTTTTGTTTAAAATATGTAACGTGAAATAGGAGTCTCATTGATGTATTGTAATACATAAGTTTGTAGCTAAGTCTGTTTTTGCACTCATCCAGCCAGGCTAAACTCTGTATGAATGTGTGTAGATATGTATCACTTTGAACTGAAGTTGCTGGTTCAGTATGAAGACATTTACTGAAAGCTTTCACCTTGAAGGGTGTCAACTGGGTGGCTTGTTTTTAAACCAATCCTGGAAATGTCAAGACCACCTTAAATGTCATGGGTTAAGGTGGTTTCTCTGTTTCAAATATAGTGGTTCAGACATAGCATGGTCTGGTGCAATATGTATGATTCCTGTGTTTACAAATCCTTCTTCCTTTGTGGGCTGTGCCAGGGAACCAACAAAATACATCTAAAGCAGAAAACCATGGTTTGAGCTTTCCCTCCAACCCATGTTTACCAACCACAGTTTGATGCTGGTTTATAGTACTATTATGAAGGGCATCTGCAAACCATCAAAGTTTGCTAGTTCGGATGTAATAGAAAACTATGGTTACTAATTGAGTTGAAGCATGCAAAGAGAAGAGGAAAGGCATGAGGTCAAGCCTTGTTTACATAGTGCCAAACCATGAAAATCTTCTTCGAGTCACTGAACTGGAGTTCCATCCAACTTGGTGTACGTGGCTTTTATGCCAAAAGCCCAGGCTTACCCAAATAATCTTCTTGTTATTTCCAAGTCTCCCTGTTTACGATTTTAGCCTTTGTATCTTTCTTTCAGGTGCATGGAAAACCCAGGTGTTTCAGAAAAGGGCTTGCATTCTCAGTACTGTCTTACTTGGGATATGAAGCATATGTATTAATGTCCCAGTCTTCTATGGTTCATGCTGATGACCACAGTAAGATTTATTTTTAAATTACAATTGTAAATCTGTCTTCTTAGTGTTTCAGAATCTTGCTGCTAACATTTTCCCGTGTTACAATAAATGAGGTAGAATGAAGAAAATGATAAATTTCTTAAGAGATGTTAGAATTTGTGTGTCTGATTTTATTACAGTAGTGACTTTTGATTGGCTGCAATATTGACATTTTTTTCTGCTTTTACCCCAAATAGGTGACATTCTAGATCAAGCAGACTACCTGTATGGAAGTGGAGAAACTGAAAAACTCTGTCATTTGCTGGAGCAGCACAAAAACAGGTACATTGCTGTTTATTACTCTCTTGCCATCTTGAAATCACTGTGTCCGTTGTGCATTCAATTTAATTAATTTTTAACACAGTAAGGGTGTGGTCAGACGGCGTGCTGAGAGCGGGTTAAACTGCTCCTGTTCTAACCGGATTATATTTGATCTGGATAATCGCAGTCACACTTGCCTCCCTTATCCTGCTTCACCACGCAGTCACATCGCTCCCCGGCGTCTACACTACTGACGTGCGGGAGCGTGTGTTGGCGGGTTTTTTAAAAAAAATCCTCAGTTTCTGCATGCGCATGACGCCCCTCCGTAGAAGGGGGGGAAACTATCATGATGCATGTGCAGAACCACCAGGGCGAATCAATCCAACCCCTCCAACAAAAGCCTTCCCTTTAAATGTTTGACCCGAAAATGGCTTCCGTGAGATCCCGAACTCATTTAAACGCTAGAACAAGAGACGGTTTAAATCTTGGTTTTCTAAACGCGGTGGCGGAGCTCCACCTATGTGCACACCGCCAACACATTAAAAAAATGGCAGGCGAAAAGCGGAAGCCTTGAGCAGGGAGGGGGTTTAAACTGGAAGTGGCTCGACACCGCAGGAACGATCAGACGTCAGAGTAGTGCAGCTAGAACCGGAGAATCAGGAAAACACTACTTGGGGACCTGGTTTTAAAGGGGGGTTGAGCCGGAAAGCAATGGCTGGGGACAGTGCACAGATGTTGGGTGTGTGAACGTGGATATAAAATCCGTTACTGAAGCGTGCCAAAAGCGGACTAAACGGCCCGTCTGAGTGCACCCTAAAACTAACATTGAAATCAAAGCAGACATACTGCTTAGCTAACTGGTCAGATATTCCGTGAAGCCAACTGTGATGATATTCTAAATTTCAATATGGAGACATTTGTCAGGAAATGCAGGGACAAGAGCTGCTTGTGCCCTGGCACTGCATAGTCTGGGGTAGAGTAGCAGCATAACAGAGCTCCTACTAGCCGCCTGTTAAGACTTCAGGCAATTCCAAAGAGGAAAAATTGGCTAGTTGTCCACTTAGCACAACTGCTTTTAAAAATAGAGTGCTCTCTGCTGCTCAGAAACAGAAGAAAAAACGATGTGTAGTTCCTTAGAGAAGTGCTCATGTCCATGCCTGTTGACTGCACCACCAACCAATGAGAGACTGTTTTAAAATTTGAGTCAGTTTGGATGCAGAATGTGAGAATAAACATGATGATAAAAGTACTAGACTAATACATATCCCTTGGTTTCCAGTTTGGTTTGGGAAATCCATCAGTCCATACTTTACCTGCCTTCTGCATGGGGCTGGTCATGCTCTGGGAGGCAGCAGAAATAAATAAAAAAATTAGACAGAATATGATGGGTGAGACTAGCCATGATTGGTAGGACATGCAGTACACTTGGTGGTCCAAAGGCTATGCAGTGCATTATTAACACCAGACCTGTATCTTGGCAGTCTTAGATGTTTACTGAGGTGTGTAACAAATCGCTTGGGTATAGTTTATTCTTATTCACCAGTTGGCTTCTAACTTTTCAATGTCAGAAAATAATAAGGGAAAAGTGGTTGCCTCTGGGCCTGAGAAATTCACCCATACCCATTACCGGTTGGATCTGATGTAGAGTAACATGACAAGTATAAAGTATTCCGAAGTGGGTTTTCAGAAAATGACTTCCACTAATGAAAAGACTTTGCAATTACTTTGGGGGCAGGGGGGGGACACAATTTGCTATAATGAGTACTCTCGAAATATTGTCAATTTTCCTGTGTGGGATCATGAGGTATTTGAACTCCATCTCCTGATCACAGTGTAAAACTGCCTGCAGGCATTGAGTGATTTGGATCTTATGGATTTGATTGATTGAAGCTTAACATGTGCTTTATAGGCCAGAAGCCAAGGAAAGGCTACCTGATCTCCCAACAGGATTTCATGCAGATTCCCCCTTTGCCTTTCATTTTGGAGCCAACAATATTGCAGCATTGTCTGCATGGCTCCCCCCCCCCCCCCCCGGCTAACTATGGTTAGTTCAAGCCAGCCTTTGAATACCCAGTTTTAACCATTGCTCACCATGGTTAATGAAAATAGTGGCACAATTGTAACACAAAGTGTAATTAGGGAGCCAGCAAGGTATAGCGATTTGAGTGTCAGACTAGGTTCTGGGATATCCATGTTTTAATCTCCATTCATGCCATGGAAGTGTGCTTTTGGACCTGGGCCACTCACACATTCTCAGGCTAACATACCTCACAGGATTATTGTTGTAAGGATAAAATGGAAGAGAGAAGAATGATATAAGTTGCTTTGGGTCCCCATTGGGGGGGGGGAGGCGTGCTATAAATGAAGTTTAAAAAATAAAATAAAAATATAGTTCAGAAAAAGAAAGAGGAATTTGTGTGAGCATACGGCAGTACATGATTCAGTAACTGATAGCTTGTTTAATGGAGTAAAGCATTCTGATTGTGTCTGTTTCTGTTTAGTGAAAATGCAGAGTTACTGTGGCGCCTGGCACGAGCATCACGTGACTTAGCTCAACTTAGTCAGACTTCTCCAGAGAAAAAGAAAGAGTTGACATATGAAGCCCTTGAGTATGCAAAGAAAGCCCTTGAAAAAGACTCATCCTGTTTTGCAGTACACAAGGTGAGCTAGGCAGTGTAAATTAAATAGTGCTATTGCCTGCCCTCTCTCTCATATGTAGAAATAGGAGGGGAAATGTATATAAGTTAGGTTTGAGTCCAGTGACGCTGTAGAGACCAACAAGATTTTCAGGGTATAAGCTTTTGAGAGTTAAAGTTTCTTTTGTCAGATACCTGGGAGCTTATACCGTGAAAATCTTGCTGGTCCCTAAGGTGCTACTGGACTCAAATCTAACTGTTCTCCGGCAGACCAAGACAGCTACCCTCTGAGTCTATAAGAGTGTTTCAAAAACACTTGGTAATTACACCTTGTGAAAATGGGCCTAGTCAGGGTTCATTTAGTAGAAAAAGAGGTGCAGGAGCTCATTAGCATAACTTATTAGCATAACGTATTTGCATATGCCACACCCCCTGACATCACCGGAAGTGTGTTAGAAGGCAACACCCACCGCTCAGGCTCCACTGGACTGTTTTGGATTGCTAGCTATTTGGGTGGGGGGGGAGAACGTGCAGATCTGTCCTCGCAGAGGAGGGAGAGCTTGTACCTGAATAAAAATTGGTCTTAAAGGTGCCACTGGACTGTTTGGATTGCTAGCTATGGGGGAGGGGGAATGCGCAGATCTGCCCTCACAGAGGAGGGAGAGCTTGTACCTGAAGGCAGGACCGGGGGGGGGGGCTCTGCAACTTACCTGGCTGCTTCTTGCTCCTCGTGGCCCAACTGAGGGCTGCTGGGAGTAGGAGGTGGGGCTTGTTGCATGTGCCCGCCCCCTGGGCTCCTTACTGCCGGTGCTCTGCTCCTGTGCGCTTCTACAGGAAATGACCCCTGGGCCTAGTTAAGAGTAATTTGAATATCAAAAGGATCCACATCCAATATTAGTAATGGTATTACTGGCAGCTGCTGTCAACTTGTCAAATAAACTCTTTTGAGTTCATTTGACATGCACCAGAGCAGTTAGTAACAGCAATGTAGTAGCACTAGTGGGAAATAATTGAATCCTTTGTAAGGCTCATCAGTGGTATTTAACTATTTATTGACTTGCCTGTAATGTAACTACAACGTGTAATGTTTCCTGTATAAACAAGCATTGAAGGAGCTTTGGGTTTCCTTGTGAAATCACTTTTCCCTCATGCATGGCTAGATAATTACTTATTTTGGATTTGAAATAAACTAATTGCTGAAATGTCTGAACCCGCGAACTGGAAGAAATTGCAGTTTGAAGTACTTGTGAAGTACTTTTTCTTTGACAGTATGTTAAAGACAGACAAAATAGCTTGATTGTTTAACCTGAAATTCTAGTATTACAGAGGACAGAGAGGTTTTTCTTCATTGGCCACATCTACACATCCATGTATCTGAGACTGAATGTTCACATGAGTAACAAAGAAATCTTAAAGTTGGTTGAAGACTAACACTTGAAGTGTCATCATTATTTCTGATTAATAGGATGATTTTAGCTAACTGGATATGCATTGAACCAAAAATTTTAATATACAATTTGCAGGATGGGTGGACTTGTACATTTGGTGACTTATGTAAGGGGGTAGTAATTGCAGATTTATTGTCACCAAATCTAACTTTGAGTATTTTTAAATAATCATTTATTTATTTTTTGTGTAGTGGTATGCCATCTGCATCAGTGATGTGGGTGATTATGAAGGAATAAAGAAGAAAATTGCAAATGCGTTTGTTATCAAGGAACACTTCCAGGTATTTAAAATAATTTTCTATTTGTGTCCTCATATTGTGTCCTGATACTTTATTTCTTAGCCGAAATGATACTTCTACCAGTGGAAAAATGGATGGGGGTGTTTTCACTGTTTTCCCCCTTACATTGTAAACTCTCACTTTGCCTTGTCATGTTGTTCCTGGCATCTACAGACACCCCCTCCTGCCCCAGGCATAATTTTAGCTGGCTGCAGCAGGAGGGGAAAGGGCTGAAATTTTGCTTATGTATGCACCTCCCTGCTCAAGATTAGGGGTATGCATTTGGATCTACCCAAGCTAAAGATATACCCTAAAAATACCTTATTGGGTATTTATAAATACCTTATTGGGTATAATAAATACCTTATTGGTATTTTTCAGGTATATTTCGGCTTCCCAAATGTATCTGAGTTTTCTCAGGAAACCCCCCCCAAAAAATCCCAGATATATTTGGGAAATTTTGGGTAGATCTGAAAACAGTGGAGCGGCAGGAGCAGATTGCTTCTTCCTCTCAGCTGTTTGTGGGTCAGGCTTATGCAGTTGCTTTAAACTTTAAAGGGACTGCAGAAGTCATCCCGAGGATCAGCCACCGTTGCCGGGAACTAGGAGCTCCCAGCCCCTTCAGCTGTGGCTGGCTTCTCTCGCAGCAATCTGATTTAAACCGGGCTACAAGAGGTGCCGGCCAAAGATCAGCTGGGTTGGTAGGGAGCTGAGAGCTCCCCACTGGTGCAGCTCTGCTTTGCCTTGTTCTGCAGCTTGGTTTAAACTGGGCTGCAGGAGAAGGCAAGCCAACCCCAGGATCAGGCTGGTATTTTTTTTTTAACCAGCATTTTTCAGTTCAGGTCTATTGGACACCAAAATTTTAAGGATTTCTGAAAAATCCCAGATCTGAATACCATACCGGTATTTGGACCTGGGATTTTTCAGAAATCCTGAATTTTTTCCTGGGTTTGATAGACCTGAACTGAAAAATACCGAGGGGGGGGGGTTTGCACACACCTACTCATATTTAGGATCTAAGTTTCTGTCTTCTCTGACCGTAAGCTAAAGGAATAAAGCCTAGAATTCATGTTTCTTCTCCTCCCTCATACTTTTGCATGTTGAATTTAAGTTGCTGTTTAATACTTGCCACTTCAGTTTTTCATAATCTTGATACAGTACCGCTTTCCCCATTATCAGTTGCTGATTCATGTTCGTCATTTTCTTTTGTTACATTTCCCTCTTTTCTGCACAATGGCTTACTGTGTTTTTTCCTACTTAGCCCCCTTGCCTGTACTCATGTTTTATATCTGCGAGACCACCTCTCCCCCTGTGCTTCCCAATGACAGCTTCACTTCGCTCATTGGAGCGTGGTCGTCTGCAGGTGCCAACCTACAAATGGGCAAAATCAACAACTGCTCATACACGTGCCTTCTCTGTTGTGGCCTCCACCTTGTGGAACGGCCTGCCTGAGGAAGTCAGGGAAGGCTCCCATTTTCCTGGCTTTCCACAAAGTATGCAAAACTGAATTATTCAAGAGGGCTTTTCTACACATGCACTGCACTAAAGGATTCACAAAGTTACTTAGAAAAATTATAAGGACTGTGGTCTCTACTACTGTGTCTGGCTTGTTGAAACTATGATCCTGCTATGGAATTTTGCTCATTGAATGTATCATACTAATATTTATGCATTTCTTCAGTTCTGTTTTTAGATTTCTAGTTGGTTCTACAACTCTAATCCTACTGCATTGTTTATTGAATGCCCCATCTATCAATTGTATTGACACACTCTTGTGTAATCTGCCTTGAGTCCAAGTGAGAAAGGCAAACTATAAATGACCTAAATAAATATTCAGTGATTCTGCTACAAAGTGTTATCCACCTTGCTAGCTATTCCAGGAGTTTTAAGTTTTGTTCACAAGCTCCTGTTTCCTCTTTGTATCACTGCAAACTTTTCATGCTTACTTTAAAGTGAAATGGTTGCTGCGGCTGCAACTTGAATTCATAGATAGATAGATGGATAGATGCATAGATAGATAGATGGATAGATTGATAGATGATAGATAGATACGACATCAAGCCAGTAAATCAGCAGATACTCATCAATGTTATAAAAATGGCTTTAAAAGTATATAAAATGTATAAGAATGCATAAAATAAAGTAACAACCAATAGAAATTGTATAAAAATAAGTGAAAAGACCAGATTAAAACTGAGACACGATTAAGCGGGCTTTTCGAATACAACAGCAAACAGCACAGAATTTGGCAACTTCCTTAGAGATGGACTGATTTTCATCTGACAGTATGTAGTTTATATAATCAGATTCTGCCATATTGGGACTTGGTTTCTTGAATTCAGTGACTTTCTTCTAGTAAGTGAGGAGTCTTCCTTTGATGGGGCAAGGCTTCTCACTTGGTAGAAGGGAACTATTATGTCCAACCCAATGTTTGCTTCCCTCAACACTTGAAGAAAAAAGTAGTGCCTTTTAGGGGAACTGGATATTTACCACAACCAATTTAAAACAATAACAACACTTTAAGAGGAGGTGGCTGTTTATGTATATTATTTTTTTTGGTTTTGCTTGACGTTTTAAAAAAAATCTTAACCTATCCCTATTGAAGTGTTCCTACATATTCAAGTATGTGATGATAACACTTTACCTCTTTTGGTTGTATGATGATTTTATTATCAGCAAATGAACCTGCCTTGCCCTCATTCTAGACGGGTGTCAGCATCACTTCTACCTTGTCAGGATTCAGTTTCAGTGTTCTTAGAATACATTTTGCCGCCTGCCCCTGCCTGAAATGCTGCTTTTGTTGAGTCAAGAGCTGTTTGTTTTGGAGACAGAATGGAAGAGGAACAGTGCTTTTAGTTTATTGAATCATTTGTTTAATTGGTGATCTGCTGCAAAGGTGTAATTGGATCAATGTTATTGAACATGGAAGCTATTTCCATTCTCTAGAACATAACAAGAACAAAATATGATTTTGTCATGACTACAGATTGGGGAGAAGAGTTTTAGAGGAGAGTCAGTCAGTCAGTTTATTATTAAAGTCTTTGACCAGTACATAACAATTTAAAAGACAAATAGAAAAATTCCCGATACTATCCTAGCTGGTTATGAGCCAGTAAAAACCTTAGTAACATAAAAGCTTATAAATTATATCAAATATAAAGGAAAAAGTAAAACTACTGTTCAAACCTTTTAAGCCATTTAAAAAGTCAGTTTAAAACAATTTTTGATAAAAGTAGAGACATGGTCTATTTGCCTTGCTTTTCGCATTCCTTATATACCTGGACGCAGAACCTAGCCACCTGTCTTGATGTATGGTGATTTCTATCCGACAACAGGTATTCTAATTTAATTTTGTTTGACCTTCCTGGGAACCTTTCCAGCAGCAGGCCGATGATTTCCTTTCGGCTCACCGTATGGAAAGAACAATTTAAAAAGATATTTCAGTCCGGGAGCAGGTGCAGAGTCTGAGCGCATAAGGGATCCCTTTGTACTGTCCCACTATTACTGCGGATGGCAAGGCCATGCTCCTTGCTAGGATGAAGGCCCTTCTGGTATTATAAGATTCAAGAAAATATAAATAGGCCTCAGGAGCAACCACATATCTTCTGTTTGCTGGAGAAAAATAATTTGGTGAACTGCAAATGTCTGCTTGTCTCTCCGAATCTAGCACTCTGCTTAATAAGCAATTTTGCCTGCTCTATGCCAAGATTCAGGAGGACTTGGGGGGGGGGGGAACCCAGCTTTTCTATGGACATTTGGACCGCTTGTAGCCAACTGCTCTGAAATTGGTCATGCAGGGTGAGAGGGAACAGCCTGGATTAATGCTGCCCGTTATCCATTTATATATGGAAAGAATGCAAATCCTAGCTTCTACCCGTATCTTTCCTGTTTCCAAGCGAACCCAGGAGTTTGATACACACTTGGGTACCTGAATTAGCACTCTAAGGAATTTTGATTGAACTCTCTCAAGTGGAGAGCGGGAGGAAGCTGAAGACCCCAGAAATGTTCGGTAGGTCAAGTGGGCCAACACCTTGGCTTTGAACAAGCGAAGTGCAGCTGGGACATTGTAGTCCCCCCGTGTCCAGTAGAATTTCAGGATACTATTTGCCGATTGCTCTCCTACATCGGCAGCGCTGCTGTTATGAATTTTGTTGTAACCAGAAGCCTGCACCATTACTCCTAAATCTTTAAAGCTGGATAATTGTTCCAGCTTATGTCCTTGAAGCTCCCAACACCTGGACCATGTATTTTTCCCAAAGGCCAGGATCTTTGTTTTCTGATGGTTAATTTTAAGATGTTCAATTTCACAATAAAGGGAGAATTATTTCAGAGCCCGTTTCAACCCTATAGGAGTTCTGGAGGAGAGTCAGTTTTAAGCCTTATCTTGCTGAACAGCTGTTACATCTTACCTTGTCTTGACAGAAAGCGATTGAACTGAATCCCAATGATGCCACTTCACTTCATCTTATGGGCATTTGGTAAGAAAGAGTCTTTTTAAACAAAGCAAAACTTTTGACATGAATATTTTCCTTTTGGGAGGAGGACTTGTAGCTGTATTATAAGATAGCTGCCCAGTAGAGGCACTTTTTGGTATTAGCAGGGACTATACTGGCCAGTTTGATGAAACTGGATTTGTGTTTTAAAAGAGAAGTCAACAATATTAGTCTTCAGGGTTTTTTGTGGAGTCTTTTGTAGGCTGGTTAGACTACAAAATATTTCTACCCCCACTCCTTTTTATAGACGTCCTAATCCTTTTTTTATTTTTTTTTTATTTTTTCAATTTTTAACAATTCTAACACTTCAAACAGTGAACAATTAATTTTCCAATTACATTCACATCCTGTAAATAGTTCCTGCGTATGTACAACGTTATAACATGTTCAAAGAATTACAATACATTACTCATCACACTTCCGAATATGTATTCAACGTGGGAACGCATATGGAACTCATCCTTGTTAAGTGTCCTGAGTTATTCTAATAGATGATGATGGTTATCTTCCTAGGAGAAGTGTCAACAAAATCTCCTTCCTGGTCTACTTAATGGTTTAGATTCAACTTATCAGCATTCTTAATTAGCATCGGTTTCTCTGTCTGGCTATTCCTGTCTGAGGTCCCACCCCTTCTCAAACCGCACCCTCTCCAGGCTCCACCCTTCAAATCTCCAGGAATTTCCCAACCTGGAGTTGGCAGCCTTATCCTTCCCAGCCAACCATCAATCTATCTTTATCTGACGGGGCACCCCGATGTTGTGACAACCTCACATCATTCTCTTTTTCCCTTTTTGATCTGCACAACAACCCTGTGAGGTAGGTTAGGCTGAAAGTCTGTGAGTGGTCTGAAATCACCCAATCAGCTTCCACAGGAAGAACCTGGGTCTGGCAGACCCTGCTCTGAAGTACTAACTGCTATGTCACACTGGCTGTCATGGGGGGGCACCTCAGCAAGGTATAATGACACCACCATTTTCTCCAGGGGAACTGATCTCTGCCATCTAGAGAGCAGTTGTAATTCTGAGTGATCTCCAGCCCTCCCCTGGAGATTGGCAACAATGGTTCCCCAGGAGGAAATGGCTGGTTTAGAGGGTGGCGCCTATGGCATTGTACCTGTCTACGGTCCCACCCCTTCTCAAACCCCACCCTCTCCAGGCTCCACCCCTCAAATCTGCAGGAATTTCCCAACCTGGAGTTAGCAATCTTATCCTTCCCAGCCAACCATCAACAATCTGCCCCTCTGGTTTCAGCTTTCCATCTCCCCACCGCCACCCGCCGCCTCTACCTAGGAAAAGTAGTGTTTCTCCACAGTGGGGACCTAAGCAGGAGAGAAATTACCTCAGCAGGGTATAAGGACAAAGAGTTCACCCTGCAAAGCAGCCATTTTCTCCATGGAAACTAAGCTCTGCCAGCTAGAGAGCAGCTGAGTGATCTCCAGCCCTCACCTGGAGAATGGCAGCAATAGTTCCCCAGGAGAAAAGAACTGCTTTGGATGGTGGACTCCATGCCATTCTGTTCCGCTGAGGCCTCTCCCCTCCCCAAACCCTGGCTTCGGTAGACCCCACCACAAAATCTCCAGGAATTTCCCAACCTGGAGCTGGGAACCCTTGTCAGGACTGGCCCCAATGAGTTCCCCACAAAGGCCTGGAAAGGGCCTCCTGGCTTCGCCTTTTTACTCACAGAACCAAGCTTGGTTGCCTAGCAACAGCCACTGAGGGAAAAGTTAGTTCCACAGGAGCCAAGCAGGAGAAGTGTCTTCATCAGGAGAGACAGCCGTTTTGGCAGTTTATTCTGACAGGGAACAGTGGCTGAGGCAGCAGTGGGCAGGGAAGAGGAGCAGACCCAGCACCAACATGTGAGTACTCTTGAGTGGCGGTTGATGGGCCAATGACTGATGAGGCATACAGCACAGCCAATGGGAGAGCTGGAAATGGCCAACGCATCAGGGCAATTATATATATCAGATTGCTGCACTGTAATATTGCATTGCAGATAAAATCAGTGTTAAGCTTTTCAGTTAGGCAGTGGAAAGACTGCCTTTATTGTTCCTTTTTGTGCAAGACTAGTATCTCCTAACACTTCAATTATAATTTGATTTCCTTTGAATAATTCATATCAGCATTTAACAGAAAATTGTATGTCTAGATGGAACTAAAAACAAATAAATGAACAAGATCTTGATATAAAGATCCATTGTAGTCCATTGAAGTGTTAGGAGATTGTTGTTGTGCGACTGAACAACAACAAGTATCTCCTAACACTTCAATTATAATTTGATTTCCTTTGAATAATTCATATCACCATTTAACAGAAAATTTTATGTCTAGATGGAACTAAAAACAAATAAATGAACAAGATCTTGATATAAAGATCCATTGTAGTCCAACAGAATAGGGAAGGGCTTTCTCTTAATATCTTGTTTATTTAAATTCCTTCTCTCCCATCTTTCAGTTTTTAAAGTTGTCTCCCTTCCCCTGCCACACACATATAACTTGGCTCTTGAGGTATTAGGGAATGGTTACAACTAGAGACAAGATGCAGTTGGTTTGGATACTCTCACAAATAGAACTTTCTTTAGATAAAATCTGTTGATCGGTGTGATTATAAGTGCTATATTTGAGTTTGGAAAGAAATTTTCAAAGACTCTTATAGGTCAACGTGGTTTAAGACTGTATTTGAGAATCTGTTGGCTCTCAATGTCAACCTGGGTACTATTCATGCCTTGGGCTTTCATGCAGCATTTGCTTTGGTGAAAAATTGTATAAAATTAATCAATCACCAAAGCTCTGACTTTATAGCACGCCACACCTGTTCATCCCAATTTTTTGGTACTTCACCTCCAAAATCTCTTCCCTCCTACACCTATCTGTTGTCTTCCCAAAGCCTGTTAAGGGTGTTCATTCTGACCAGATTAAATGCTCACTCCTCAGTAGTTATAAGGCATGCATTTTCTTTATTCAGAACAAATCTGCCCCTTTCCCTTAGGTAAGATTGACACGATAGCACATATTCTTATGGGGTGTCCCTTGTACTCTAATCTCAGGAGGCATTATATTTTACTGTGTTTGCAAGTTTATTCAGACATATATTGCTATGACCTAGTTACGTTTTTACTTTCTGACAGGGATCCAAAAAGAACTCTAGCAGTTATAAAATGTTTTTACTCCTTTTGTCTATTGGGCGATAAATGATCAACAACAACTCTAGATATTTTATTGGATGAAAGGAAGAAATTTTCATTTGAATCAGTTGGCTTGCAACTTTGTGGGATTAATTTGATTTTTATTCCTGCCTTCCTCCCAAGATGAGTTACGAAGCAGTAAAAGAAGTTCAAAAACACACAAGACTGGCATTTGTTTTTGTTTTTTAAAAAAACTTCTAAGGGCTGCACAGAGCCCAGGGGCTGCTTGTTCTTCATGGCACTGCTGGTGGTCTTAGGGCACAAAGATAAGAAAGTCCTCAGTCTAAGTCCTCAGATGGCTGTGCTGTATTTGCAGTATGGAATAGCAGTTGTTGTTAGACCTGGGCTCAAATCTCTACTCAGTTGCGAAGCTTCCTAGGAGACCTTGAGCCAGTCTATATATCTCTGCCGATCCTATCTCATAGGAAGGTTGCAAGAGTAAGGTGGGGAGGCTGTACATGCTGCCCAGAGGCCCTTGGAGGGATACGATAAACATTTAACAAAACAACTAAGTGTGACTTGGTTAGTACTGTCTTAGTTGTCTGCTTTGTAGACACTTTGTTCATCCTCGATGCCTCCTCATAATCACTTTTTGAGTTTATTTATTGAATGTTCTGTCTGGGAGGGTTGGACTAGATCTTTTGGGCTCTTTCAGTTGAGGCACATAAATATGCCCTTGTTTCAATATACTTTTTCCAAGTATGTAAACAAAATATAGAGGTCTAAGGCATACACCATCTCTTTCATTTGTTGTAGGTGTTACACATTTGCTGAAATGCCATGGTACCAAAGCAAAATAGCTGCAGTTTTATTTGCAACCCCACCCAGCTCCACCTATGATGAGGTACTGTGTGCTAATACTCCCTGCATAGAGGTTTTTTTTGTTAGTATGGTGTTATCATTGTAAGAGGAGGATTTAGCAGGCAGTTTAATATGATTCTAGTGCAGTAAAATAGACAAAACTTGACCTTTTAAAGAAATGTCACTACACCAGAGCTGATTAGCTGTTACTAAGCATCACAGCAAAACCAACATGTCAAGCAAAACAAGTTTTTACTGATTTAAATAGCATTTCCTAAATTAATATGTCCTCCTTAAAAATGCATTCTATTTACAAAACAACAACATAAGAGTATGAAGCTCATCAGTCATCTTGCGCTGCTGCATGTTCTGTAGAATATTTAGTCCTCAACTAGAGAGGATTACTTTAGCAATACTTAACTAACTTTAATGTCATTGTTTTCCAGGCTCTGCGGTACTTTCAGAAGGCTGAAGATAGTAAGTTTGTAGGAAATTTGGTGTATGTGGGTGTTACAAATTTAAACCCCAAAACACTATAAATAGTCTCTTTTACACTTATGGCTAACATCAGAAATATTGAGACACATAACATAGGCACATGCAACATCTTCACCCAACTTTCTCTAGAAATTAACAATAAGGTTGTAGGTGTTTATACTTGTGTCTTTCAGGACACTCTCTGATTTTGTAAACTGTCCTGCCATGAAAAATCTTAGTAGATCTTGAACAGGAAAGTGACACTATTTCTTATATCCCCAAAATTAAAACCTGCAAACTTGTTCTATGATTAAAAATTTGGGTCAGTATAACTCTTTTTTCATATCCTCCTAAAAATGCTATAACCCATGTCTGGAACTTTCTTGAAAACTATGTATACGTTTGTATTCATAGTCTTTCAGCTGTAGAGAGCCTGTTAAAAATAAGCCCTGTTTGTTAAGAAGCAGCAAGTAATTTTTCACCAAATAGTGTGGGTGGGCCCTGGAAAAATGCATACATGCATGTGCTCTGCAAAACAATACCACTATGTTAGGAAATAAATTTTTAATGTTTTTAATGCCTGTTTATGTGGTAAGGTAGAAATTGCCTTGTTTCTAGCCTCAGTTGTTTCTGAGGAAATGGAACAACCCAGCAATTCTCAAATTTTAGCAGTCTGAGGAAACCCATAACAAAAATAGGTGGTTTTTTGCTAAACCTTCAAGCCTCCTTCCTCATTGGCACATGTCACACACCAGCCAGCCCCTTTTTCCCTTAAGGGAAAAAATGTTTCTGTTTTCTGTACAAGGTCTTGTCTTTCTAAGGTAGCTGATTCTGTTGGGCCACAGCTCAATATGCCGTCATCCAAATTCTAATCAATCCCACCCTTGATTGGAACGGACTTTGCACTGGAGACAGCAAGAAGCTTCCTTATTGATTAGTTCTAACCAGAGGTTGAATCAACAGTGGTGGGAAGGGGCCTGAAAAAGCTTTGGCAGCTGCTGTTAAAAATAGAAAGACCAGAGCTGCACACAACCAGAACATCTGGTATTCAAATGAAAACCACCACTGGCAGCTAGTGTCTATGGATGCAGAGTGATTCCCCCCCCCCCTTCGCATTTGAAAATAGACTGAAAACCAGTTTAGTTTTACACAGGAAGTAACTGTGATGATCTCATTGATATAAGTCAATTAGAATTCCTAGGGTTGAGTTCCCAGCATCAGCATGCTCTCAGGCTAGTGCGCTAATGTGATCTAGAAGCTAGGTAACTTGTGGTGGCAGCTCTACAAGCACCCAGCCGTTGAAAGGAAGACACTGATTCTTAACCTATCTCCTGAGGTGAAGAGTTCCTGCTGCAGTCTTAGAAAATGTAGATGCTCTGTTTTCATGTTAGCTGATGCAGGCCCGTAGCCAGGATTTTGTGGCTTGTGGGGCAAATTTTTTTTCTGGTGGGACTGAAGTTCTCAGTGCAGAAAGGAAAGCCATTTAGCCAATAGAAAGCTGTTACCAGGATCTATACACTGCAAGCTGTCAACCACTTTAGATGACAGTTCTCAGTTGCTGCAAGTTAATCACTTCTGCCAGCGTAAACAACAATTCTGATAACAAGCCGGCCAGTGGGAGTGATGACTTCTATAGTCAAGAAAGCTAACACTTAGGCAGAAAAACTCTCTGAAAGGAGACCAGTTTCTTGACATAGAGTCAGAAGGGATCCTAGAGATCACCCACTCCAACCCCTTTGTTCAGTATGGGAATTCGTCAACTACAGCACTCCACTCTGCTTAAATGAGTGCACACCTTTAAAAATGTTTTAAAATGATTGAAAAAAGCATTTGCAGGAGAAATTCTTGTGGGGCTGTGCCTTTAAGAAAGGGGGCAGAGCCCGTAAAAGCCCCACCGTAGCTACGGGCCTGACAGGATGGCACAGAAAGGGTTCATACTCTGTCCATGCAAAGAACCTGTGCGTACCTTGGAATACCTTCATGAACCACCAGGGGATCCCCACACCCCATTTTAAGAAATGCTGTCTTCGCCAGTACAGGCTGTGCATAACACATAGCAAAGGCAAACCGTGGTGAAATTTTAAATACTCCAGTATCTTACAATTAAAAGTATAGTGAGTTGTATGTTCAGGGATCAGCCATTTTTTTAACAAAAATGTTTCATAAATAGCAGTTTAACTGTTAGATAACACTGTAACAAGGTAACAACTTTTTCTTTCATTACCATTTTTGTACAGTTGAGCCAAACTTCTACAGTAAAAATTTGCTGTTCTTGGGAAAGACATTCATGAAGTTAAACAACAGAAAGATGGCCCTTTTGTGGCTAACAAAAGCCAAGGAACGGGTAGCCCATACAGAAGAAGATAAGCAGGTAAACAATCCAGTGGTTGTCACTGCAGTCCAACATTAATGTAACGTTTCTCTATATTTTTTCAGCCTTTTTTGCAATATTTCAAATGTGCTGGAAAAAATATGAAGTCTTATTACTTTGTAAACTTTGTTATGATTTAACACCGCAATACAGTAGGTATCCACAAAAACCCATAGTATAAATAAACCATTTAAATTGTTTAAAATGTCCATGACAAATTTAATACAGTGTAATTTGGTTGTATTTTAAAATACCTTCACAAACTCAACTCTTATTACTGTACAAGTGCAATACATTAATAACTTGAGTGCTTCAAAATGTATGCATTTCTAATAAATGCCCATCAATGTATCCAGTTCTCAACCTGGCCTCATCTGCAGATACTTAAGTCTGTGAATCGGGGCCAAGTGGAGAAAAGGAAGATATGTGCATAAACTTGGGGGAACCCCCCAAAAAAGTTTCCAGAAAAATCTTTAAAACTTACCCAAAATGGATTGGAGGAGTGCAGAACTGCTGCCACCAGCCCCACATCTCCTCCATAGCCTCTAAAGTGGTGAGGTGGTAATGTTGCTAGGGGGGAGATGGTGGCATTACGGGTGGGGGAGCCAGTGGCAGTGCAAGCCTTACCACTGCTGCCTCACCAGCCTCTGAGGAACCCACGTTGCATGTAGGGGAGGAAGAACTGGCAGCATGGTGGGGAGGAGAAATCACTACCCACCATGGCACTGAATGTGGAGCTGCACCTGCCTCCCACCACAGTACCAACAGAGAGAAAAAGACCATGTGATGGGGGGGGGGAAGAGGAGGGAGAGTGACAGTAGGTATGGGGAAAGGGAGACAGAGACTGAAAAAGAGAAAAAAGTGACAGTAGGCAAAGGAAGAAGACAGAGAAAGTGACAGTCGATGTGGAGAGAAGGAAAAAGAAGGAGAAAAAGAGAGATTGTGAGAAGTGGGTGGAGGAAAGGGGAGGTAGTAAAGCCAGGGGCAATGTGATAGCCACTCCCACAAGTTTCTGTGGGTTTCCACTTGGGGGGGCATTCAACAAGTTGTGGGGAGCATACACAAAGAGTTGTGGGGGGCCATGTAATTTCTGCCTCTTCCACTAGTTTCTCATTACCTTTCCTGAATTCTACCATAGCGTATCCCCTTTTCCTGCTTCCTTCTCTTCTTCCTACCCACCAGCCCACCTACCTTTATCTGCCCCCCCTCACCCCCCCCCATCTTCAGCTGTCCTTCCCCCAGCAGCCTTTGCTTGGGAAAACTGTGGCCACACTGTGTGGTGCCAGCCATTAAGCTGACCCCAGTTGCAAAGTGGGAAACATTCAAAGACATGCAGGTGCACGTAATTTTCCCCGCATCCCTTCCCCACACTATTTCTTCATTCCCTCTTCCTGACAACCCCCATATTCTCAATTTTTGCTGCTTTCTTGTCACTTTCCCATCCACCAACCAGCCTACTTTTATCTGCCCCCATCTTCAGCTATATTTCATTTATATCCCCTTTATATATTCTATTTATACCTCATCTTAATCCACAATAGGGACCAAAAGCAGCTGTCATCATTCTCCTCTCCTCCTTTTTATCTTCAGAACAACCTTGTGAGGTTAGGCTGAGACTGTATGACTGGCCCAAAGGTACCCGGGTCAGCTTCCGTGGCAGAGTGGGGACTGGAATCTGGATCTCCCAGATCCTAGGCTGAAATTCTAACCACAAGCATGCTAATCTGTTGAGTTGTCAAACATACATTAGTGATGTATTAGTTCTGCCTTAAATTGCACAATCATTTAGCCCACTTCAAGCACTAACTAAATAGAGTTTGATTGCCAGTGACTGCTAATCCCACCTGCCAACGTTGTTGTTGTTGTTGTTGTTTTAAATCTTACAAGTCACTTTGTCTTTATGGCGCTTCTCATACCTTCTGCATCTTAGATATTTCTCCTATATGGATGAACTGAAACTGCTATTGATTTAATCATTTCTTGTTGGGAGAGGAAGCCTGAATTAATAACCTTGAAAAGCAATAAATCAAAAAGTAATAACAGGAGTACACCCAAATATCACTTATTCCAATCATAGGTCCCAACATTTATCAGATTTGTATCTCCCTGTTCCTTCAAGAGCTCAGGATGCTCTAGATCAGGGGTGTCGAACTCATTTGTTATGAGGGCTGGATCTGACATAAATGAGACCTTGTTGGGCCGGGCCATGTGTGTCATAAAATGTAATGCCAGGTAGTGGAGACATAAACTTTATAAAGGACACAAACACAAAGATTTTTTTTTACTTAAAATACAAACATGCTTAAAACATTAGCTCTGTAAGATGCAAACCTACTTTTGATTTATTGACATTCACCACAGAAATCTCATGCTCAGAGTTCTGAGTCTAGGACCCAGGTTAAAACATGAAATGGCGGAGTGATTAAGAGAGTCTGGGGAAGCAAGTTATGATGCAGCAGCAGAACTTGGAAGCAGGAGGTGGCCAGTTCCACTGTGGGCCTGATGGAAGCCCACCGGGGGCCTGATCCAGCCCCCAAGCCGCATGTTTGACACCCCTGCTCTAGATAGCACTTGGTCCATTTGCAACAGCCTTGTGAGTTAGGTTAGGCTAAGAGTCAGTGCCTGACTCAAGGTCACCCAGGGACTGTCATAATCCACTTGAACGCAGATGTCCAGGGTCCAGGTCTCGGGGTTTTCCGCATGTAGGAATAAAGATGACAAAAAAAATTGTATTTGGTGGGTTACTCAGTAATAACTTAATGGCAGCTTTATCAAAATTTTTGTCTCTCTTATTTTCAGGTCCAAAAGGAAGCTCAGGAATTGCTAAATTCTTTATGACAAGATTACTAATTAAAATTTATGGATAACTTTGAGCCACTACTTTTTGATCAAAGAACATATCGGTTTGCTTTTTTCCTGCTATGTTGCATTAAGAGGCGAAGCAAAAGCTCAGATTTTTCTGAAGTCCCTCTTTGCTGTATCAAATTATAAGGTGACAGGTGTGTTGAAAGGCAAAAAAAGCACCTTAATTGCTCTTTTCTCCAAAGTATGGTTACCTGTAACTAGTAACGTATCTTTCCAAGGTAATTTTCGTTTTCTGGAAGATGTGGAGGAACTGATGTCATCATTGGAACTGATATCAGGGGATGATTTGTCAGTTCATCAATTGGTTTTAGGAGTGTGAGCAATATCAGTAAGGAAAGCCTTCTACTGTTAAGGCTTATAAATAGTGTTGAATGTTGGGATCTTCCGCAGGAATCGGTATCTAGAACAAAAAGAGGATCAGGATGAAGAAAATGTATGGTCTTCAGGGTTGAGAACACTATCATTCCAACTTTAAGTATCACTTTGAATACTTGTTATGAGAAAAGCAACTGCCAGTAGAAATTAGCTGAAATAAATAGCTAAGACAGGAGTATAATCAGAGATGCTTAAACACCCACCAGTTTAGCTCATGCCCTGCTCACCAGTCATGAATCAGGAGCTGATTTTTCAATTATCAGTTTGATAGTTCACCAAACCATTCATGGCTATTCTGCAGCAAGCCTGTAGCCAGAAATTTCTGGTTGGTGGGGCAGGTAAACTTAATTAGATTAATTTCTACTCTAATTAGTGGTGATCTAATAGGAGAGGGTGAACCTCCCTTTCTACTGTGATCCATCGTCTAAATTATATTTTAAGCTCTTCCCCACCCTCAATGAGCCTGACAACCCCCCCCCATGAGTCTGACCAGAAATAACCCCAGAGGAGTTACCACCAGAGTCTCTCGCACCCAAAATAAGCAGGTGCCTTGCAGCACCATAGAGACCTGCTGCTATCCCAGGGGAAGCTTTGGTGGACTAGAGCCCATGCACTCGGCGGCAGACGGGATCCTGGGAAGGAATGCCTCTGATCTGTGGATCCAGACCGACGAGAACCTGAAGAAGAGGGCTCCAGTCCACACCAACTTAAGCTGACATTTCAGCTGCCCTCAGAATTCTTCCTGTTTCTTTCCCCACCCAGCGTGGGGTCTGAGAAGCCCCCAGAAAGGCTGGCTCAAGGCATGGCCCCAAGATACCCCACTGTAGGCTTCTTCACTGTGTTTCTTTTTTGTGCATGTGCATTCTCACACAAGCCCAATGAATTCTGCTTCCCCAGTCTTTGCTGCACAACTCAGCAGGCAAGTTGTTAACACAGACAATTAGATCAGTCACAAATCATATAGATCAGTGTTTTAATAAAATCCTACCATAAGGAAGGCCGAGCACCAAATAATAGATGCTTTTGAATTATGGTGCTGGAGAAGACTCTTGAGAGTCCCCTGGACTGCAAGGAGATCAAATCAGTCAGTCCTAAAGGTAATCAATGCTGACTGTTCCCTGGAAGACCAGATACTGAAGCTCAAATACTTTGGCCACCAAATGAGAAGGGAGCACTCACTGGAGAAGACCCTGATGCTGGGAAAGACTTGAAGGTAAAAGAAGAAGGGGACGGCAAAGGATGAGATGGTTAGACAGTGTTATCGATGCAACGGACATGAAATTAAGCAAACTCCGGAGGACGATGGAAGAAAGGAGGGCCTGGCGTGATGTGGTGCATGGACTTGACTGTGCGACTGAACAACAACAAACCTTTTGGTGTTCATCTGATCAGTCTCTAATGACACTAATGGCTGTTGGTCAGTTTTAATTGCAGAAAGCAGAAGACTATAAACATTGTTTATGCAAAAGGAATAAATGAACATAACATTAACAGATTCAATGTGTCTGTAGTATAGAAAAGAGTTACAAAAGCAATAGTCAAAAATGTTTTTACAATAACAGAAACATATACCACATACACACCAAACTGGAAAGTATGTGTGATTTGTTTTTCCAATTTGGTGTCTAGGTGATATATGTTTCTGTTATTGTAAAAACATCTTTTACTTACTTTTGTAACTCTTTTCAATACTATAGGCACCTGTTTATTTCTGCTAGTCAGTTTGAATTGGCAGCATCTTGGTACATGCATTTTTTTTTAATGGTGCAAACCTATTTGGCAGGCTTTGCACCTGTTCAGTTCTCACTGCACAGGCTAGGTAAGCATAATTAGGTGTGTTTTGGTTTGTAGGTGATTGCTGTGACCAGAGGACTATCTGGGCCTTCAGGGCCCCCTTGCATGATTTTCATGATGAGTTTCAGCGTGAATTTGTTCTACTTTTCAGCTTTGAGACAGTTATGTATGGGGGGGAGGTAATTTGTAGCACTAAAGGAAAACTTCCCTTCATCTCTAATTGGCAGACAGCTGCACCTGTGCATTGTTCAGTCCTGCCAGGGATTCTCTGCCCTCTTAATCTGCATGCTTCTTTTTATGATTACAGATAAATACACGAGAGCTAATTAGGAGTTACATAAATCATATCTGGAAGGTTGACCTTTTAATCTACCAGCCTGCTCTTACTAAAACGGCTACATTTTTGATGAGGAATTTTAAATGTTTGTGTTGACAAGTGGTCTGTTATGACACCTTGTAGCTTCTGGTCCTAGATTTCTCCCTTGTTTGCTCAAGCTGAAGTCTCTCAAGTATTTGGAAAGATATCATTGAATCGAAGAAAAGCCTCATACTCATTTTGGGCCTTCACCCTTGCAACTTAGAAAGCTCACCTTCTTCCTCTGAAGAATCCTTAAGAAGAAGAATGTCTAGTTTCATGTTTCATAGACGATTACAAAAGTATTGTTGTGAGGCAAAACATCCCTGACCCCCCCCCAGGGTTAATTAGGTGTTGCTAATTGGTCTCTCTGCCTACACAGTCCTTATCATCTTCAAGGCCAGAGCTGGAATGTGGTAATTAGCTTCTCATAAGAACCTGCAGCCCATAGGATGGGAGGGGAGGAATGATGAGGTAATTTTCTAGAGGGTTCCAGTAGGAACGTGTCCTGATCAGGTGTCATCATCACCTGATGCTGCTTAGCCAAAAAAAACCTAATTGTACTAAGAGCCTGGAGAACAAACGTTAGCTTGGACTCTTATATGGCAGTAGACAGCAGTGTAGAAAATGCAAAAGCTATGGCATTTGACTCTTGGACTTAAGGTTTGTGCCATCTAATGCAGGTCCTGGAAATGTGTTAGTTAACCTAGTTTTCTTGGTTTTTGCTGTGTGACTCTAGAGTGTTGTGTTGCCTGTAGATTAAACCTTTTGTTTGACAGAAATAAAACTTTATATAACTTAATTGTTTACCCTTGCTTTATGAGGACTGAGCTTTAATAGAAGTGAGATGTCCTTTTTCTCCTGGATGTCTCTCAGTAACTCTTCCATGACAAATCAGGAGAACTTTAAGTCAGCTTAAAAAAAATAATAATAATAATAATAATATAATAGCTCTCGAATAAAAACTATTTTTTAATCTATTTGTCCTTGCTTTAATTGTCCTATATCTTCTGCCCGAAGGCAGCAGTTCAAACAGGGAATGTTCAGGATGTGGCAAGTCCTGCAAAATGTTCTTTGCTTTTTTCAAACATCGAGAACTATACAATTCCTCCAGGAATGGGAGAGGGCAGCCAATGATCTTCTGGGCTGTAATAACAACTCTCTGGAGCGCTTTCCTCTCCACAGCCGTACAATTGGCAAACCAGGCACAATATGTTAAAATGCTCTCTATTGAGCAGCGATAGAAGGACATCCTTATTCCGGCATCGCCACTTGTTCGCCGCCCTGGGCCGCTTGGGTAGGGCGGGATATAAATCCCAAGTAAATTAAAAAAATAAAAATAAAAGGACATCAATGTTTTCTCACTCAAGTTATTTTTCTTTAAAAGTCTGAAAAAAGAGAGCCTCTGCTGGGCCTTCTTCACCAGAGCAATGGTGTTAGCGCTCCAGGTCAAATTTTGCTAAATAGTCACTCCCAAAAACCTAAAAGTAGTCACCCTCTCCACTCGTTCTCCACCAATAACCAGTGGCTGGATGTCCGTTTTATTTCTCCTATAGTTTTTTTTTTTTTTAAACAATTTTTATTGGGTTTTTTAACACATAAAGAACAAACACAAACACAATGCACACATAAATCCCTCCACCCCCCAACCCCCTTCCATATGACGCTTATATTCCACACCACTTTAGTTACTTGCATGCTTTATAACTGATTCCCATTCTCCTAACAACAGATTTATTTATCCCACAGATCTCTCCTGATCTGTACTTATTTTCCGACCGCTTATTTCACATTGAATTGTAAATTTCCAGACCTGTTAGGTCCTTATTTCTACTTATAATTTCAGATACCTACTTACCAAAATTAATAAAAATCTGATATTGACTCAGTTCCACACAGTAAATTTCATTTCGCCTAAGCTTACACCCAAACATCCGGAACCCCAGCAAATTCTCCAGTTCCAGCCCACTGTTAATTAACATTCCAACCTAACTTGTGGCTTTATCTCCAGAAACAAGGGAGATAGCAACTCATAAAGAGGAAGTTATATTAGTATTCAAACTCATATTAAAGGTTGTTCAACTCCTATTCTACAACCGGCATCAACTAACCCATATGATAACAAAGTAATCTGTTTCTTTCCTACTTATCAGAGCAATTCGCCCTTCCTAGAAATTGCTAAGTAGCATTTAATGTATATATATATGTCATCTATTTGCTCATTCCTAGGTCTCTATTTCTCCAAGTTATGGTACCAAATTACAAAATATCAAACATGCCAGTACAGGCAAAAAACACATGATACAGTTTCCATGTAAGCCAATACATTAAAAGATCCTTCTGGTCTCAGTTTCTCTTAAAGCATCACCTCCTACTAAAAACCTTTGCCCTGCCCCTCTTTGTATTGGCATTATGTTGTATTTCTTTTCTGCTTTGATTTTCTGTATTTTCGGTTATATGCCGCTGATCTTTGTACTCTTTATCTTTTTCCCGATTTTTAATGTCCCAGTTCAGAAGTTTTTTACAGTTAGAGTCTTTCAATTTCTTTAAACCTTTCTTTACTTTTTCCCTCTTCTTCCTCCTCTTTTCTTCCTTGCTCTGTGCATTTAACAAGCATACTTTTTTGTCCGGTCCTATTTTCCCACTCTCTCTTTCTTCCGTCCTGTTCAGTATGTCCCGCTCACATACACTTTTTTCTTTAAGATCATATAAGATACCTTGTTGCTCTCTCTCCTGCTTAATTCGCTGCAGTTCATTTCTCTCCCGTGTCTCTTTTGTTTGCTCTGTAACATTGTTCTCCTTATCGGAAGGGCATTGCAAATTCTTCAACATATTATCCCACACTTGGTTAAGTGCTTTATTTAATTCAGCTTGCAAAGCTTTTTGAAAGTTATCGGATCTGAGCTCACGTACTATTGAGTCCTGTATCTCTTTCTCGAGTCTCCGAGTGCTTTACAGTTAAGTAATTGAACAAAATATATTCCCACGATTCTTCAGCTATTTTGGTAGCATTTTTGGTAGATAGTAGTAGGACCCACAGGCGTTTTTCCTTACCCCAATCCTCTTTCGCTCGCTGCCCATAGAAGTTTCCCGGCCGCTTTCTTTTGCCGGTGGGGGGGGGGGAGACCGCCGAAAAAAGAGGGTGTTTAATAACTTCTTCCGCTTCAGTCGGGTTGTGCAATGTCCTTCAGGGTGGCGTAGAAACGTAAAAGAAAACTTAAAATGAACAAAAAGAAAGGTTTTAAAAATACGGCTGGCAGCTGCTTGATGGGAACATGGCGGCCATGTTTCCGTTCTCTGTGACGCTCCTGCTTCGGGGCAAACCGGTCACCCCCCATCCTTGCCAGGGAAACGGGGGGGCGGTCAAGCCTCATACTCTTGGTCTCCCTCCAGGAGAACCAAGCGGGGCCACCCCGAACCTCGGGGGGGCTCCGAAAGAGCGCTCACAAGCCGGGCTTCCCTGGGAGCTCCCAAGGGACGCGCCCGTAGCGCAGCGCCGCACCACCAGAAGTTTCTCTTTTCTCCTATAGTCCACTACCAATTCCTTGGTCTTGGTGGCGTTGAGGATCAAATTATTTTCCCTGCACCACACACAAAGCCGTTTCACCTCATCCCGGTAAGCAGACTCATCATTCCCAGAGATGAGCCCCACCACAGTGGTGTGATCAGCAAACGTAACGATGGTGTTACTGGGGTGGGTGGAGGTACAGTCCTGCGTATAGAGGGTATAGAGCAAGGGGCTCAACACACATCCTTGTGGAGAACCGGTATTAAGGATAAGGGCTGTGGGCATGTAGGACCCTACCCTAACCCTCTGGGTATGTGCCGTCAAGAAGTTCAAAATCCAGAGG